TCCAGGGGCTTTGGATCTCTCCATTGAGAGGATAGCTTCCTTTATCTCTTCCATGGAGAAATTCCTTTCTAATATCAAGGGTTATTCCTCTAGATTCTGTCCCAATCCACAACTAGCAATCTTGATGTCACCCTAGTTGATTCTGAAAGGAGAGCCTTGAAATGATTCACAAAAACCCCTCTAATCTCCTGACCTTCTCTTATCTCCTGGCCCTCTCCTCCACCCTATGAATGGTGTTTTTCCTTCTACCATTTGCAAGTGAATGAAAAAAAACTTGGTATTACCATCCCCTTCCACAAGCCGTTTACACCTAGATTTTTTGTTTCCAGCAAATTTCTTCCTTCCTTAAGATCTTTTTTCAATTCTTGCTTTTGTCTCCATCTTTCCTCTTTTGACAAAATTCTAAGAGCCTCTCTCTCCTATCCAACTCCTCAATCCTTGAGATCAGTTTCTCCTTGATTCCTTCTACCCTTCCAAATTGCTCTTTACTCCAAAATTTTATTTTTTTTCCTTTAATCTCTTTGGCATTCTGGCAAAGGACACTACCTTCTTATTTCAAACCACATATTCTAAAATCTGAAAGGATAAGGACCTCCATTTGAGACTTCTTTCTCAATGCAAATGGGACAATGATATGAGGTGACTCTAGGCAAAACTCTTGAGATTAGGGTCGCCCACATTTCTTTCCATTCATGACAAAAGAGGAATCTATCCAGTTTAGAGCAAGTTAGGGGAGCTTTGGAAATTTGACCAGGTAAAATCTTCTTGCAACAATGGGAGCTCTCTCAATTCGAGGGAACCAACTAATCCATTTTTCCTTATGCTAGTAGTGATTCCATGATTAGTATTATTTGTTTCCTCCAAGAATCTAATAACGTTGAAATCACCACCCACAAACCATGGACCCTCCCATAGACCCCTAACAGCAAATAACTCCTCCCAGAACAAGGCCCTATCTTTATACGAATTAGGTCCGTAAACATTTGTTCAAGCCCACTTTCAAACATCTAACACTCTTCTGATTTTTAGGGAAACTAAACATTGGCCAATTAGCTCCTCCATACAATCCATTTCCTCATTCTTCCAGATAGTAAGAATCCTCCCTAAAGCTTCCCATGAGAGTGCAAAGGACCAACTGAGACCCCTGGCTTCCCAAATACTTCTTATGCATTTCCTATCTAGCACTGACAGCTTGATCTCCTGAATCATAACCATGTCTGATCTTTTTTTCTGAAGACTTCCTTGATTAGCCTTCTTTTTTTTGCACTTCCTAAACCTCTCATATTCCAGCTTATTATTTTCATTTCAACAGATAGAGAGTCCCTATAAAGATGTCAAATTCAAAACTTCCCTTTCTCTTGCTTTACTCCTTTCCATAGCTTATACCACACTTCAGTTTTTCAATTTCATTCCTCTTTCTTTTTCCTTTGCTTACCATTTTTCCTCCAATAAACTTTAGTTTCCCCTTCTCTCCTTTCCCCTACCCCTTCTTTCCTTTCTTGATCCGGTTTTGCCTTGCCCTCCTGAGACTCATTCGGATTTTGACAAAGGTCCTGAAATTGGGAGGAAGGGTGGTCTATATCAAGCCCCACTGACTCCTTTTCTAATGCCAAGGCTGCTAGGCAAGGGGAATAACGTTAGAGCCTTTAGAGGAATCTACAATATGAGGCAAAACAAAAACAGGGGCAAGAATAATAGAAGGGGGGAAGGGGTAGTGACTCCCTGCTCCTAACTATCATAAGCCTTCCTTTGTGAGCTTTCCACCAAGTAAGGATCCTTGTTAGGTAGCACAGGTACGGCATCCATTGACTATTCCCCTAGCGCTTCTTTACTAGGATTGGTGTTTAGACCAAGATCCGAAGTACGAACACCCTGAGCCTTCGTCACCTCTAATTGTTTTCCAAGATCTCTTTCAGCTACATTTGAGTCCACCTCAAGAAATGCCCTAGGAAATTCGAAACCCTCTTCTCTGGAAACCAAATAAGTCTTGCTAAGTGGGTCTACAAATAGGAGCTCCATTTCCAAAATCTCATCATCCCACACCTTGCAAACTTTAGTTGTATCAACACTTCCGATGCTAGGGATTTGATCTACCTCATAGTCTTCTTCCTGTCTCAGATCCTTCCAGTCACTATCTTCTTCAAAGTCATCATGCTCCTGCGGCTCCTCCCTATAAAACTTTGGGTTGGGTTTGTCTAGGGTTGTAGCATTGTTAGACACCACCGGTTTCCACAACCAATTGCAGTCTAAGGCCACAGTTGCTTCAACCGATCTACCTAAAGCTTTGGGAGGTTTCCTGGTAGCAGGCATCATTGCTGCATCAACAAGGGGCTTTGGGGTCGATTGAGAAGATGATAGACCGTAAGTAGTGTCCCCTGCCCCTTGGACTAAACCAGCCACCTGGCCCTTTAAGTGGTCACATAACCTAGGTTTAGACTCACTCAGACCAAACATTTTCTTCAGTTCACTCGTCGGGTCTCTTAATGGCGCCTTTTCAAAATTCTTGACCCATTCGATTTCCAAAGCTGTCGACTCAATCTTCCTCAAGTCTCCATCCCCTTTCACCATTGTAACGTCAGCAACATCTTCTTCCTCCTGCAACCCTTTCCATAGCTGAGTTTCTATGGATGAAAGCAACCAGGTTGTGTAGATTTCTCTGTCAATCTCCATCTTAACCAGGTCATGTAGATTTCTCCGTCGATCTCCATCTTCACCACTCTGGGTATACAGCATCATGCTTTACCCCAACCAGTCTAAAGGAAGTTTCATTGAGGTTTGAGAGGTCCAGATCTTCCATGGTTCCGCCACACAAAGGTTCTAACTTTTTGAAAGTATCCCGAGTCCAAACATGAAAGGGAGCCCTAGCACATTTAACCGAGGGATTCTCTCCCATTCCACCTTTTTGCACTCAGACTCCACTGTCTGATCACCACTAATCCTTCTGAAGTCTAGATTGGTAACACATGTATTTCCTCCCCTTTCCTTCTTGGAATGAACATAAATCGAAGGGAACTTTAAGGCTTAGCCTAGTTTTGATCGCCTCAGCAGTACAATTCCAGCAACTCACTTGTCTATTAATGTAGACTACAAATTTTTTTTGTCATTCCAAGTATCTTTGTCTTTCTTCCTGGCCTGCCTCCTCATTTACCTCCTTCCCCGATTGGCTTTTGCGATTCTGTATCTTTTGGGTCATCTGAACACCTCCTCTCCAAAGGAATTCCTGCATGGCTTCCATGAACATAATCTGTCCCTTACTCTGTTTTCCCAAGGAAATGAAGACCAACTGCTTTTCTCCCCTCCCTAAACCATTCTGTTAACATTATAAACCAGCCCTTAGAGTTAAATCCATGGTTTTCAAAACCGGACCGGACCGGGTGGTCAGACTGGAAAAACTAGGAACCGGTCAAGTGACTGGTTCCGTTTTACCCCAGAACCGCTATTTCGCCAAAAACCGTTGATTTGGTCAGTAAACCGCAGACCCGAGTGTTCAAACCGTCCAACGGTTTGGCCTTTTTTTTTGTCAGAACGGGCCATCCATTCGGTTCGAACAGTCGGACCGTTCGACCCAGGAACCAGACCCCTGACCGGTTCATTGTCCGGTTTGGTTTTAAAAACCTTCGTTAAATCTCAGCTCAGCTACGGATAGCTTTCCATTCTTCTTGAGGGTGTTCTTCCAGTACTGTGCTTTCCTCGACACCAATGCCACTTAACTAATAACGAAAGGAACTACGGCCCAACAACACAGAAAATAACCAATACAATAACATAAAATAAACGCCCACACGAATAACCAACTATTACAATAATGGGGATTAGAAGAAAGAAAGAAAAGAGAGTTGTGTGCATGAGAAAGGGTGTGATTCAGAATCTGATCGCTTACTTCATTGATCAATATGGTAATAGAATGCAAATTATAGTCAAACCTTTAATTGCATAACATAATTAAGAAAACCATAACACACCTTAATAGTTAATATTCAACAAGAACATATCCTTTCTGGTTGACTAATCATTGTATTGACCAAACAGGGCAAAGCAATTAGTCATTGCTTCACCACATTGATAATATTGATATTCAAAGAAGATAGGAAGGTAATTAGTGGTCTTATCACTCATCTTAAAAAGGAAGCAGACATGAGAAGACAATGTTAAAGTCTCCTTCCTACCGATACACGAATACATGAAAAGTACAATAAACAACCAGTACATATCTGAGATAAATCTTGATTAGCCAACAGCCAATTCCCAGGGGACTACACAAGACTGGGGCTGACAGCTAGAAAATGGTCAGTGACTTCAAGGCTGGCCAATTGTTTCGGTTTGGAAAGGAAAGTAGTGATCAATAGGGATTTAACAGGGATGGCAAAAAAAAACTCTTTCACTGGAGAAAAATGGAATATCCATAGCCAATGTTATAAAATAGTAATAAAACAAAGATAAATTAATAGAGAGTTATGAATAAGATAGTTCTAAGGAGATCTGGAACAAGCTTAGCCCACCTTGCACGGACTAATGCTGGAGGTACATCAACAAAAGAATGGAGTTATAACACATGACAAAAGCAAAGCTGCAAAATCTTGCAGAAATCTATAGTTCAATTCAATCTAGTATACCACAATGACATTTTTATGCACACACAAGGCTAGAATCCCTATTACATACATTTTCTTTTTTTTTTTGTTTTTTTTTTTTTTGGAAGAAGGTAAAGTATCCTTGTTAGATTTTCTTTCAGGACCCAAATATATAAAGTTACATGTATATATGTATAAAATAAGGTAAAGTATCCTTGTTTCTGCAAGATGCTGAGCATTACATCTATGATGTGGTACATCCAGAAACTATCCTCAAAGACATTCTACATATGGTAACAACTAACTGTTGCCTATGAGAAAAATTAAAATAGATCACAACCAGCAAATTATTTAAGACAGCTTGTAATAAATAAAAAGATTACATAATAGGAAAGTATACTAGGACATTGAGTGATTTTAAGAACTTACTGTTAGCAATACAGCAAAAATGAGAGAGCTAATGAAGCCTCCAAGTATGGTAAATAACTCTGAAGATGCCAATTTCTCCCTATACATTTCCTGAAGTGAGAGAATGACAGAAAATAGCAAAAATGAGTATAGCATGGAGCTCCCCAACCCTGCCATGAATCCCAGGCTGCATAAACAAGGAAACATGTATGAGAAATTGAACCTTGAAATCAAAAGAAAAAGGAACTACTAAATAATCCAAAACCTATAAAATTCTAATCATTTATCTGTACAAACTACAAACACAGAAATAATGTAGCAACCATTATGATTGAATCTAATGAAGTTAAACAATGAAGCTCATGTTATTTCCCAAATATTAAATGCTTGCATATGTTATTGTGGTAATTGTTGATGATGTGTTTGACATGTACATGACAGATATTGGACTACAAACTTAAATATAAAAATTTGGGAGCAGGTCTACTAGTTGAGTTCTTAAGCAAAGAAACCTAAATCATCCAGGAGATTTTCCAATTTGCAAGATGTTGGAGCCCAAAAGGGCCCCACATGATCCTCTGTCCACCTTTTGTTTATGGGGATTTCAGTGTCAAAACCCTTGGCACATATCCAGAAAACTTGAGGAGGGGAGAACAAGACCTTGGGCAGCTAACATCACTTGGTGAATATGAATACAATGCAGGGAATATGAATTATACTGTAATGGGGATCGAACACATGGCTGATCTAGAGTCTAGACTATTTCAACTAGGAAATTATTTTCTTAATAATATCGCATTTAACCAATTAAATAGCAGGAGGGAGATTGATGAATACTCCATTAGTGCCTAATGTTGCTAAAAAGATTTTGAGAAATGCCAATTGGAGATTTGGGACAGTAATGGAAAGGTGTAAGTTAATGAAGCCAGAATGCTATGGACCTTATGGTCAGAACTTTTATTTTATTTTATTTTTGATGAATGGAGTATTCATCAAAAATATTAGACATTGGTATCTTTAGTTAAATTATAATAGTGTGTGAACATGGATACAGTAAGATTATGATTTCATGGATTCATTTATGATTTAATTAGTAGTTTTATTAGGTAGGAGTCTTATTTGAGTAATAGATTGATACAGAAATTAGGCTTAGGAATCGCACTCTCTTAGATATTGTAGGTGCTGTTTGACTTTTGGGTGTTGAAAAGTTTAACCATAAAAACAGATCTTGTTGAGGATGAAGGAGGCCCTCCACTCTTTTAAGTGATTTTTCTCATTGTTTCTCCATTTTATGTTATTTTTATTTATTAAGAGGTGGTGCTGGCAGTATTGCATGGACCCTCCTAGATGGATGAAGTGTTCATGTTGATCAGGTACTGGACTCCAACACTCCATGAATTCTTCAAAGAAACTTCTATATGACATTTTTTTCTATAGGTCGATAATGCTAAATTTTAAAATATACAAGACTATTTTAACAGTATATACTTTTCAATGGATGTCATAGACAGCCCTTGTTGCTAATGTTTTTAATATACTGCAATATGGTGTATTGATGGCAAGTTCCTTATGTTTTAAAGCAAATGATTAGGGTTCAAGTCTCTTAATTTATATTTTCTTTAAAATACATGTGTAATAAGGTAATATGTACAATAAAGAGTCATTAATTAGCACAAGATAAGAGGTGGACTAATGGTAATTAAGCAATATATGAAAATAAGAGGTCGTGGGTTCGAATCTTGCAACTACATTTTAAAATTTCTATTAGCTAAGGACCTAGACGGTTTCATGAAACCGGGACTGGTTCACTGGTTTTCCAGTTAAACCGGCCAGTCAGCCGGTTTTCACCAGCTTTTTAATTAAAGCGGTTATTGGGGTATGACCGAACCAGCCAAGGTCCCCGGGTCATGGTTCAACTGGGCCAACTGGCCAATCCAGTTTGATTTTCTAAACACTGCCTGTTGCTTCATCTTGCAAAGCCAAACTCCTGGACACAAGTCAGATTCCAAAACCCATGTCAGAGTCCAGTAACACTGGGTGCAGGTATTACAAATGCATGTTCTCAGCCTCTTCAATCTCCAAAAAATTGACAATGGGGTATTTGAGAAATTTCGGGGAAATTCAGTTCCTACTAAGTGGAAGCTTTAACTTGGATAAAAATATTGAGAAAGAAACTGAATAAAAGGCAACTAAAGATGACAACCATGCAAATGTGCATGATGTGCCCCAAAAAAAGGTGTTTTAGTTCATCTATTGTTGTATTGCTAGCTGCATTCAGGGGGTTTTATCTTTTCTTTATTTCAAAGAGATTGTACATGCCTAACCAACCATTAGAGATGCATTTTTCATGAGGGAACATGGACAGAGAGAAGCAGAAGGATTTTTGAAGAAGAAGCTAAGTCAATGCAAAGATTTCTATGGGTGTAATCAGGCCCTAGTTATAAGACAACTTACAAGGTTCAGAAAGGTTGATATTGACAAGAACTATTTTGATGTTTTGAGGGGTGAGTCTTTTTATTTTTCATTTTTTCTTTCAGAGATGCACTTCCTCACTTTTTGTTGCTCTCCTTGCTTCTTTTCCATTGTATAACTTTTTCATGATTGATGAAAATTTTCCTTATTACTGATAAGTGATAACATCAAAAAAATGTGTAATGCTGGTGCATCCAAAAATGAAAAGTACACACTACCCAAAAAAAATCACACTGAAGCCCCTTAATTTGTGGAGTACAAAATGAAAAATTCACTAGTTATGAGTACAATATCTAGTATGTGGAGACTCTTCATTGAAGCCCCTTAATTTGCACCGCCACAAATCTTAAAACCTATTTTAAACAAGAGAGAACTTTAGCCATTATCTTCTATGTGATCAAGGCAACACAACTAGGCCTGCAATCTATCAAAGTCGCCACTGTTAGTTGAATAAAGAAGATAGGTGTCAATAATGATCAAACGGCTCGTTGAATAAAGAAACAACTGGATGCTACCCTAGAATTCTTCAATTTGCTCACAATTACTACACCACTGTTAGTTCAGAAAGAAAGCTTAAAGTAAAGAATCCAAGTAAAATGGCATTTAGAACCAGTTACCCCAACTTCCTATTCTGTCTCAATTCTCGAAATAACAAGCACAAAATAATCATGGTAAACAATTGATTAGAAATACATTATCCTGATGAACATCTAAAATTTCAAGATATTTCCACTATCGTCCCTCATCATAAGAGACAGGTCCTCAAAAATGTACAGTCCAAGCTGAAAGCCTCAAACCTGGAAGTTTCGTTTAACCCAGAATCTAACATAAGTGATTCTTTACTGGGAAAAGAATCAATTCTACAAGAAAAAGTCAAAATCTGAGTGTATAATCAAACAAATCACAGAAGTATTATATATTGAGATTACCTCTCCTTCTCCCTTTCCCTCTTCTTCTTGTTCAGTTCTTCCGCGGTTCCACGCAGATATCAGCGCTTTTTAGGGCTGTCAACGGAGTTCAAAAATCCGATAATCGACCCGACACCGATCCAGGCTTTTTATCAGATCGGGATTCATGAGGTCGTGAGTCTCTTAACCACATCCAATCTGATTACCCGAGTCCGATTAAATTTTACAATCCTCCGTTTCCTTCTTTCTGGTTCAGCTCTTCCGCAGTGCTCTCGGTGACGGCGCAGGGGGTGGATTCGAGCCGAATATTTGACAATTTTAGCTTGGTTTCATGAGAGTAGAATTCGAGCTCAAGTTGGGTTCGATTCAAAGCCTCGTATGTACGAGTTCGGCTCAATTCGACTAAGCCAAATTTTTTTTTATAAAAATTGAAATATATACATATATATACGTATAAAAAATAAGGTCGATTAGGCTAAAGTTCGATTATTAGCGGGACCCGTGAGATACACGGGATTTATCAAGAGAAAGCTAAATAATAAAAAGGTTCATATACTAAAATATCCCTTGTAGTTTCATGGATTTACTAAAATCTACGCTATATTTAGCATTTTACTAAAACACAACTTATAATTTGGAATGGATTTAATCAATCTTCCATTAGATGATAGTGGAAAATGACAGTGTTGACTTTAATGTTCATTTAAATAAATTTAATCAAAAGAAAATAAAAATTAAAATACCATTTTTGTGCTTAATAAGACACGAGCAACCACTTTATTGGCTATATTTGTTCAATTTTGTTTTTTATACAAAAAAGTGTTAGGGGTATTTTTGAAATAAAAAACATGGGCCTAATGGCAAAACAAACACTCCTTAATGAAATGTTGATTAAGTAAATAAGTTGTAAAATATATATGATGTTTTAGTAAAATGAAAACTATAAGGTAGGTTTAAGTAAATATGTAAAACTATAAGGTGTGTAGGAATGGCAACGAGGCGGGGATCATATTCTCCTTCCCCAACCCTGATTCTAAAATTAACCCCCATCCCCAATCCCCGATAGGGATGGGTTCCCCATGGGGACCCGAATCCCTAAAATGTTTTTAAATAATAGTATTTTTTAAAATAAATTTATTTAAAATAAATAAAATTTTTAAATTATAAATAATGTTTTTCATATATAGATAATATAAATAATATAATAGTATATTTACTATAAATAACATTATATATATATATATATATATATATATATATATCGATATAATCAGGGTCAGGGTGGGGCGGGGACCTCAATCCCCATCCCCGACCTCGACTGGCAATTACTATTAATCCCCATCCCTGCCCCTGCCCCACCAAAACAATCCCCATCCCCAACCCCATCGGGTCGGGGATAGGGAAAATTGTCATCCCTGAAAGCATGTTCTAATAAAAATTTTATAATACAAAAATAACAATAATTAATTTCAATTAGGTTTATTTATCAAACTAATGAAACCAACCAACCCAGTTAACTCGATCCAAGTTGGTTGGTTTTCTAGAATTTTAGATTGGCTTTGGTTCAAAAATTTCCCAATTCGACCAAGTTGGATTAGTTTCACTTTGGCCATTTGAAAATCAACCAAAATCGAATGACATAACCATGGATACAACTTGAGTGGATCGATTTTTATAAAAGGTTAATCGGTTTCAGCTGACCAACTGACCAGGTGAATTTGGTTGGCCAAATAGCCTACGACCGAACCGAACAAACTCATGAACACTCATAATTTCAACTAAATTAATAATTTTATCTCTCATAAACAACAATAGTTTAATCTCCAATAATTATTGAAAATTTATAGCAAAAATACACAATTATTGAAAATATATTGATAATGAAAAATACAATAGTTACAAAAATACAATAAGTACTAAAGATATATTAACTTAGTCAATAAATAGTATAATCTCAAATAATAGTTTAATCTCTACTAAATATTAATCAATAACTTATAACAAAAATACAACAAATTAAATTTTAAATTTTCAATAATAGTAATTTAATCTCCAATAATTATTGAAAGTTTTCTATTAAATAACAAAACAACATAAATTTATACATAATCATTGGAAATACATTTATCATAAAAGACAATAAATATTAATTTCAGTATATATAATTATATAATAAATATAGATTAAGAGTTTAAAATTACTATTAATAAATATTATTTTTTTTTGAAGGTTATTTTCTCGAACTATTACTTGATATAAGTAAAATTAATTATTTATAATATTATGTAAAAATATTAAATTATTATTAATTTCAATATTATGTTATAATTATTTTTCTACTGTTTAGATTTATTTAAATTTATTACATAATTTATTTATTTTAACTATTTAAAATATAGTTATGTTAAATATTTAGTTATTTAAATACTTAAATAATATGTAAAATATTAATTATTTATTGAATTTAATTATCCATAAAATCATAATTTATATGATTATTACATAATTTCATTATTAATTTTGTAATATATTAAATTATTATTAGTTTAAATAATTTGTTATAATTATTTTTCTACTTTGAAGAATTTTTTTAAATTTATTATATAATTTCGTAATTTAGCTATTTAAAATCTAGCTATGATAAATATTTAGTTATTTAAATATTTAAATAATCTATAAAATATTTTAATTTTTTTGTTATTTGAATTTTATTTATTTAAAGCTATTGCATATTGTTAAATATTTTAAAAACATTTAAACTGATCATCCAAAAAAAACATAATTTAAATTGTTAATACATATTTTCGTGATATATTTTGTAAAAATATAAAATTATTTTTTGTGTTTTTAATAGATATTTTAAAAGTTATTTTATATTTTTTAGAATATTTAAATAATTCTTAAATTTTTTAATCCAAACTTTGTTTAGATAGATATAGATAAAAAGTAGGGGAGAGGATAAATAGTAATTAGAGATAATTTAGGAGTGAAACTCTCTACTAAATTAGACATAATTTTGGAGATAATTTAGAAGATAAATAGAAATTAGAGATAATTTTGGAGAAAGTGGGGGAGGTAGTTTAGGAGTAATTTTAGGAAAGGGAAATTGTCCAAAACCCACCGTTACTTTTTATGAATTCTCTTAAACTCACCATAACTTTTCAAAACGGCCAAAACTCACTATATTAGTTAGATTTTATTTTCTAAAATTCACCATCCGTTAGAACACCGTTAAAATTCAATGCCACATCAATCTAAATGCATTTTTCATGATTAAACTGCCCCTGAATGGTGAGTCAGTTGTTTTTTGACCAAAATTCCTCTATGAAAATATTTCTTTCTCTCAACCCAGAGTGTTCTTGCTCTCAACAACATGCTTCCCATCCGACCACTCAAGACGAGCGAAGCTAGTTGTCCCCGATGGCATTGAACCCCCCTTGAACACCATCGTATACGTTTTCTTCTCATTTGGTTGACTGAAGGCCAATGAATCCAACTCAATCAAGATCTTTACCGGCTCCACCTGCGATGTCACAAACACCTTATACGTCACCGGAGTGCCCACATTCGTCAGTGTCTGCATATACTTCATTGTGGTGGTCGCAGCGGCAGTTCCTCCACTCTGGCAGTGTCAAACGGGACTGCATGAAGTTTCTCCTCATAGAGGCAGATCCTTCGCATATCCATGGTATTACACGTGAAAGTTGCCACCACCGGTGATAACAGCGGTAGTTCCTCGTGTGGCAGTTCACACCACACAAGAGCAACCAGTTACTCTAATTGCAGTGGCAATTCTTTTGCGTATCCATGGTGTTGCACGTGAAGGCTACCACCACTGGTGATAATAGCAGTAGTTCCTTGCAGCGGTAGTTTCTACCGCGCCAGACCAACCAGCTAATTTGTTCACACCTGGTGCCACCACTGGTGTAATTGTGTATGGTTTTCTCACCCACTGTAGTCGTCGGCAATAGATGTGTGTCGGCCACCAGTTCTTCCCCATTTGTTGCAGTATTCACTAAAATCATGCCTGCGCCACCAATTCCTCCCCAATCATTGCCATTCGTTCCGATGACTTTCCCTCGATCACACTCGCCTTTCCAACTTCTAGGGACAGGTTCGAGTCCCTTGTCGTCGAAGCTCAAGCTTTCGGGCCAGATACCCATGTCTAAAAATTTGACGATCACCTCACTGATCGAGTCAGATTGGGGGAAAGTCCTTGGTTCTTCTCTAGTTCGAGGAACTGTGGCGTCGAGTAGTGTGAAGTTCCTATATGACTTTAGGTAAGACAGAAATAAGTCGTGAATAACGTTGTATTTTTTGTTATGAAGGGTAAAATAGTAAATTAATAATGCTCTTTAGTCAAGTTACCATTATCTCACTTACATGGTGAGTTTTAGACGTTTTGAAAAGTTATGCTGAGTTTAAGAGAATTCGTGAAAAGTGATGGTGGGTTTTGGACAATTACGCTTTAGGAAAAGAGATTATTTAGGTTATTGGGAAAGTGATGGTGCATCTCATTAGTTGTTTAAAAATGACATGGAATTAAAAAATAAAAATAAAAAATTCAAAAAAATGAGAAAATTTCTAGACTTCCTTGTTAATATATTAAATTATTATTAATTTGAATATTATGTTATAATTATATTTCGACTTTGAAGAAGTTTTTTAAATTTATTACATAATTTTGTTATTTTAACTATTTAGTTATTTAAGTATTTAAATAATCTATAAAATATTTAAAGTTTTTATTATTTTAATTTTATTTATTTAAAGCTATTACATATTATTTTGTAAATTATAATTTTTTTGTGTATTTTTAATAAATATTTTAAAGTTATTATATAATTTTGTTAGAATATTTAAATAATTCTTAATTTTTTTAATCCAAATTTTTTTTAGATAGATATAGATAAAAAGTAGGGGAGATGATAAATAGTAATTAGAGATAATTTAGAAGATAAATAAGAATTAGAGATAATTTTGGAGAAAGTGAGGGATAGTGGGGGAGGTAGTTTAAAAGAAATTTTAGGAGAAGAGATTATTTAGGTTATTGGGAAAATGTATCTCATTGGTTGTTTAAAAAATGACATGGAATTAAAAAAATAAAATATTCAAATAAAGGAGAAAATGGATAAATAGTTATCTCAAAGGAAAGCTATGCTGACATGGCAGGACTAGTTTTAATATATATATAGAGAGAGAGAGATGAGCCAAGTTTTCTATAAAAATAAAAAAGATATATATATATAATTAAGAATTGTATAAATTAGTTATTACTATACATATAAAAACTAGAAATATTATATATAATATTTTTATCACATATATATTTACTATTTTTATAATAAACTATTATTATTATTATTATTAGGGTAATTTTTTTTAAAATACCCCTATGGTT